TATTTTGGTTTCAAGGTTTGGGCGAACTCTTAAATCATCATGACTAAAGTTGAGTATTTTCGGCCTGAGAGCAGGATTATTTCGCCGGTTGGAAAATTATTTGTTTCTTAATAAAGAATATGGTAAATCTATGTAGATTTTATAAATACGATGGAAAATGCAGCCGATAAACAAGGGGGTCGATAAGGGGAAAAAAGGAAGGATAGAAAGAGGAAAATGTATATAGAAAATAATATATAATATATATATGTATATATATATATATATATATATATATATATATATATATAGACGAGAGAGAGAGAGAGAGAGAGAGAGAGAGAGAGAGAGAGAGAGAGAGAGAGAGAGAGAGGAGAGAGAGAGAGAGAGAGAGAGAGAGAGAGAGAGAGAGAGAGAGCATGTTTCCTCATACAACAATGCAGCGCATATAGATATCAATGCATTTCAAAGATACTTCAAAGGATTATATGTACCGGCATTTTCATGACCTTGGTAAGCAGAGTCGATACGCGTTTGTATCCCAAAGCAACAGAAGCCGTCCTCTTTAAGTGAACGGTTGAGTTGCCAGACAGTGTCTGAGGAGTCACAAGTACCCGAAAAAGTACGTTTTTTTTATATCAATACAAGCTGATTTTGTATCTCTCTTTGAAGATATTATCTGTAATGTTAAAATATGCCGAAAAGTACGAGACAATTTCTTGCCAGATGATTCACCAGACATATATATCCTTACTCTTAAAATTGTTGACGTTTACCGTTTATTTATTTTTATGAGACATAATTTGATATTTGATATTTGAAGAAAGTATATTCGCAAGTATCACGTCTTAAGACGAGTTTAATTTTTTGAAAATGCTTAAAAAAGACATGACATCTTTCAACTTTCCATAGAATGACGAAATAAAAAGAAAAGAAATGAGACTAAAACAAAGACGCATCGACCTAACCTTCAAAGACGATCCGGTCTACCGTTGCTCAAATCCAATCTTATCCTTCAGTCGCTCTTCGTATGCGTTAGCGAATCCAATTCCCCTTGGTTCCAATCGGGTCATATTTGTCTCATGAACTCCGAACATCTATGATAATCGCGTAGTCTGCTATTAAGGGTGGAAGGAACGGGTGGTGTTGACGCGGCTCTTTACCCTTTTTTCAATCCCTGCCAAGGCGCGTGAAGCCTCGATCAAATATGAAGGAAGGCAAGGTCAACCACCCTTCGCACCATGCGTACGAATTCCCCAGTGACGAGGAGGACCGACTGGGAGACCTTTTTAAGCAGTTAGATGTCAATGGTGATGGTAGGATTGACGTCCACGACCTGTCAGAGGGGCTCAAAAAGCTCAACATTCCGCAGGTTCCTGGCTATGCAGAGGTGAGGATTCTGGTATTCCTTCGAGTAAAGATGGAAATCCGGTTTTTGAAATGTATTAAGAGGTATAAGGGTCATGCTGTGGGGCTGAGTGTAAGGGTTCAGCAACCTCACCAAATGAGAGGCAATTTGCATATTATATTATTACTTTTCACAATGTGTTGTAGTTGCTTGTTTATCTTTGGTTTTATTGTATTGATTTATGCTTTGGGATTTATTACCGTTTTGGTTTTTCATTGATGGTGATATGAATTTCACACAATAGTATTTTGTAATTTAGACAAATGGATTTCAGATTTGATATAATGTTTCCAAATGGATTTCGAAATAGATTTAGGTTAGATTATAATTTCAGACATTGTATATAATTCATGGAATTGATAGATTGATGATTTCTGAACCTTAACTACAAATAAGGAATGAACATACAGTTACAATTTCACATAGCCATATGGAGCAAAGTAATCGTTGACAATAATGGATTGAACAACATAATTTAAAACATTCTTAATGTATGGCATTTCCTTCAGAAGTTGATTATAAGAATGTTGTGCAACACAATATACTTTGGTATACATTCACTGAAAGGGAAAATACAAAAACTGACACTCGCTAATCATGAAATAAGGCAAAGGCAAAAAATAACATTAGAAATTAAGAAAATATATCACAACAGATTTTGCACAGTAAATCCATGGTGATTTTCTGTAGGTTCAGGGGCAGAGCGCCCAATAGGAAAATACAGTGATCGGGAAGGGGTTAGTGTATTTGCTACTGAGAGTGACACACCCGCCAGAGACAAAGTTCTAAAACCAGGGTATTATGCAAGCCCTAAAATCCAAACCTAACCTATCCTACCTTCTATTCATTCTGTAGATGGGGGTCAAGCCCCTCTGTACACCCCGTTATCAGTACTTCGTGCCAACTTATAGAAAATGGATATTAAGAACCTTGGCTGTGTGAGGGTGCTGTGGACATCGTCTCTGAATAGTGATATGCAGCAGATTTTTTTTGTTATTTCACTGCAGCTGTAGCTGTGGATATACGAAAGGATGGCACCAACTAGGAGAAAATTGGAGATCATAGCGTTGTAGGGAACAAAAAACTATATTCATTGCTATCAAATTTTACTCATCAATCTAAGTACCCATAAAGTGGGCATGCCCTAGGGGAGGGTTGATGGGGGGCTCTCCCCTAACACCCCCCCAGGAAATATTGTCTTCACCTTGGTATGCATGGCAAGATTGAGCAGGAGCACCGAGTGGACTTAGGCTAAGAGTGGCTCTTTCCGCAATATTTTGCCTTCATTTGTGGCATTAGCATTCATGTCTGTAGATTATTTCTTTTACTGACAACTGCAATTTTTTGCCCTCTTCAAGAATATAATATTCAATTTGTCCTGACTTAGTGCATCCATACTGAAAAGATTAACCCTAGTAGAATCCCAGGAATACCCCCGAGGTTTTTGGCTGGATTGATAGTCCCAGAGGGGATCGGTCACTTTGTAAACAGTTACCAGTATAGTTATTTGTTTCTTGAACCAATCATTTGCAGTGGAAGAAAATAGATTCACACATATTACACTGAATAATCGAATATAAAGATAATGATATCAAGATTGGATGACTGTATGAAAAACAATATTACCAAAATAAATCTGTTATCTTAAGACATTGATTGAGAGAGCTATCACGATGGCTTATATGCCTTTGGTAATTTGTTGAAACCAGAGAACTCCATTAGATATGTTCTTGTAGGGTAAAGCTTTGACTGGATCCTCATTCTATGATCGATCTCAAAGGTAGTTTAGACTTACATGACCAAATAAATCCATGTAAATTTTATACTCTTTGAAAAATAATAAGCATTTAATTTTGTTTTATGAATTGCAATAACTTTTTGTACTTTCAGTTTGTGACAACTGTCATAGGATGAAAATGTCTTCAAATTCATTGATACATTTGTTTTATATGAAGGTTTGTGTATCCAAAGTTATTCACAAACCATATATACACAATGGTCTGAGAACACCTTTAGACACAAATATATTGTTTTCTTTTTCTCTCCAGTATGACAAAAATTCACATGTTGTTTTGATTTTATGCTGTTTCATATCATTATGATTGCACATTTCTGAAGAATTGTTTTTGAGGGAACATTCAATTTTTTTCTTTTTCTTTTTCTCTAATTATTGTTGTTGTTTTATTATTATGATTATTGTTTATTTATTCATTTATTCTTTTTTTTTTTTTGTGAAGTGATGATAACCATGGAGATAAAAAAAAAAAAAAAAAAAATTGAACTGTGTGAATGACAATCAAAACACACATATAATACAATACTGTTAGGTATAGAAAAGTAATCTACAGGAACTACAAGAATGAATAACACAATTGCTCCTTAAATTTGCAAATTTATGTAGGCCTACCCAAGGCTAAGGCCAGCAATGCTTTAGCTACTGTTGTTTTTTTGGCATAAGTAAATCTCCACAAGGCAGATCTAAGATTTTTGGAAATGTGGGGTGCACAATTGGAGATAAAAGCCAAGTCACAATTGTGGCAAAATGGAGTTTGTCAGCCTCTTTGGTGATTGACCGTCAAATAGGGAACCAGTCCAAGCATTGTCTTGCTGAATACAAGTGGAGTAGTTTGCCAGTCTCTTCTGAATACTTATTAGGACTATTACTATCAGGTTTTTTTTTTTTTTCTTCTTCTTCTTCTTCATTGTCTTTTTAATTATTATTATTATTAATTAAGTCCACTCGCTCGGTGCGAAAGAACAAGTTGCCGCACAGCTTGCATACTGTCTTCTGGCCTACTGCGCACCTGTGTCACTATTACCTCACGACCAATCAGGAGGCAGCAGTTTAGCAGAAATTTTTAATTGCTCATTAAAGTTCAACTATGATATTCCATATACTGTATCATAAAAATGCACACGACTCGACTAACGTTTCATATATATTCACGTCTCAACCATTTTTACTTTAAAATGTGTATTTTGATCCTCAATTTTGGCTAATTCATCAATATCCTTAATTGCCAAACTACTCAAATACAGTCGATACTTAACACACATTTCTGGCTACGTCGTTGGCCTGCCTCATTCTTCTCAGTGACCATACCGATGTGTGTCATTTGTGTTACGGTGGTGTGCTTGATTTTTTTTTAGAAATTAAATGGAAAAACTGAAGAGATCATAAAGTTTTTACAGATTCACGGAGTCATCCTAAATGAAAGAAAGCGTGAAAAGTACAGTGCAATTGTCTGAACTGTTTCAGCTCTATCTTGCCGTGTATACCAAGGTGAATGCGACTTGTTTACTTTGCATCAGACAATCAGGCTTGTGTAAACAAGATAGCCTCCTAGCCTACAATACACGGGTTAAAGCCAATAAGTCTGTCACTTGTTCCTTATTTCACGGTTATTACCATATGGTTTTAAGGACATTCATCAAGTTTTAAATGCATTTACATGTAATGCAAGGAATATTTACTTATTAAGATTATTTTGGGGGGACAATTATAAGCTTGAAGTGTGCGGATAAACATAATGCTATATAAGTTACAGTACACCTATATTTATCATTGTATATGTATTCTGATTTATACACATATATATTTGGATTATTGAGC